TGCAAAACTATGCGACACTTTCAACTTGAGTGTGATAAAAATCAACTTTCGGTGTTGGTGGCTATATACGAAAGACCAGGTAATTTGGGGTGCAAAATTTGAATATCGTCGTGAGAAATATTCTGAGGGGTCATGCTGCCGAATTAGGGATGAAAGATTAGTAAAAAACTAGTCACCGGAGGCCATCCGTGAATCCTAGCTCGAAGCAGATATCGAACTTGGAATCTGCGTATCCGATTTACTTAGAAGACAAGCGTCCATCCAGATCATAGATACGCGACAATTTTTGAAGATTTTTTTATTAGTCTGGGATCAACCTACTCGACGCCATTTTTTTGAATGTTACATGACAGATACATCAGAAGAAATATGTATATTCCAAATTTCAAATAACAACGCTGTAGCCTAAAGATTAACGTTTCCAATGGTGAATTCGTTTTTTTCTTTGTGCCTGAAAAAAATGCGGCTACCATATTTTTAAAACAACCCTCGTAATTTTGAAACAGGTAGATTTTGGTTTCATTAGAACGTCACTCTATTTTAAGCAATCAAGCAATAAGCTTCATTTGCAATGATACAAAAAGAAAAACATGTTTTGCATCGCCAATCAGAGAAGGAAACGAATCGGTAATAACAAAAATGCAACATTTAAGACCAGCTAGAAAGTCCCGAAATATCGAATCGTTGCAAGAAATGCCTAGCAAAGACAATTTTCTCCAAAAATATAATCTAAGGAAGAAAAAACACTTGACAATGATTCCATTTCTAGTTCGATTTCGATCAGAGTTACAGAAAAGTAAAACTGTTTCACAGTCGATCGATTTGTTACGCTTGGCGTATATTTGGAAAGGTTTCCATCTAATTTTATGCACAAGCGATATTCTCCAATAATGCGATATAATAAGAACGATTCATGGGTGTCAGCTGCACAATTTTTGCTGCTTGACTTGATTGAAAACGACTTCACGGAGATTAATGAAATATCGAAGATTGTAAGGAATATATCACAAGGATGATTTTCCTTTGTTAGGACAGATTATATCTGATTTGTCACCTGGACATTATCAGTTAAAAAAGCATCTCAATCTTCATCAAATCTTCGTTATTTGACGTTTCAGGTCGAAAACAAAATCGACGGGTCTGAGCGTTTTTCCAAAAAAAAAAACTGAGCTGCCAGTACATGCGTCTGTTTCGTTTTCGATGCGCCACCCTGTATATCTCAATGCTTGTTTTATTACTCTTTTATTCTTATCCATTCATTTATGTTTCTAAACTACTCTTTTGAATATTTTTCTGGTTTGCTTGTGCATAGAATAATGTCAAAACTGTTCTTTAATTGTTTTATTTGGCGCATCTTGTTAACTACGTCTTGTTTAAATCTGAACGTGCTCATTTCAGTCAAAGCGTCTACAATTTCCAACAGTTTGTAATCAGCTTATTAATAATAAACGTACAGGTAATATTCCTCTCTTTTCGAAACGTCAATATTTGCCCATAATTACAATTACTCTCGACGATGCCTCTTTGGAAATATCACAAACACGACTGAGCAAGTATACGTAGTCATGCCATAAGTTCTGTCCCTCGTTTTCAAACAAGTGTAGACCTGTTAATACTTGTCCGATTGTTTACATTGTGGTGTCAGTTGATTAAGCGCTTTTCGGGTAATTACATATACCTCAGTTTGTATTGATCTCTCGAAGCATAACGATGGAGTGGGGCAAGGCAGAGAACCGTATTGCAGTGATAGCTTTACATAAGTGTAATCACAGTGCTAGTCAGATTTTTGAACTCTTACGCGGCCTTCAAATATCGCGTAAATTTGTGTCTAGGACCATTCAGCGGTACAATGAGACGTCCTCTGTTGATATCAGGCCAAGAAGTGGAAGACCTCGTCAAGTAAGGACTCCAGCAGCCATCAAAGCCGTAAAAGCCAGGATTCAAAGGAATCCACTCCGGAAGCAGAAGATCCTATCCAGGGAAATGAAGATTCCTGTCCGGACGATGTCGCGCATCATTAAACAAGACCTAGGGCTAGGGGCTTACCGGGGACGTACGGGCCAGCGACTTACGGCCACCTTGCGACACATCAGGGCGACAAGATCCAAGAAGCTCTTGAAGAGGTACGCAGCTGGGGGATTCCGAAAGATTTTGTTCACGGGTGAGAAAATCTTCACCATAGAAGAAAAATTCAACCGACAAAATGACAAAGTGTATGCAAGGAGTTCACAGGAAGCTTCGGAGATCATTCCGAGAGTTGAGAGAGGCCACCACCCTGCGTCAGTCATGGTTTGGTGGGGGGTGTCCTACGAAGGGGTCACTCAGCTCCATTTCTGTAAACAGGGCGTGAAAACAAAAGCGGCAAACTATCAGAGCGACATACTGGATCCTATCGTCAAGCCTTTAAGTGGTACATTGTTTGCCAACCAACACTGGGTCTACCAGCAGGATTCCGCCCCCGCTCACAAGGCTAAGAGTACGCAGCGCTGGCTGGAAAGCAATGTGCCAGAGTTCATTGCTGCGGAAGATTGGCCCTCAGGGAGTCCGGACCTCAATCCTTTAGACTACAAGTTGTGGGACCTGCTAGAGCAGTTGGCCTGCTCCAAAGCCCACCGTAATATCGAGTCCCTGAAAGCGGATTTGATCCGATCAGCGGCAGCTATTCCTTTGGAAGCTGTGCGTGCAGTGATAGATGAGTGGCCCGCGAGATTGAAGCAGTGTGTGAAGGCCAAGGGGGGACATTTTGAATAAAACTGTTTGATTATGAATTCTAAAAATGTTGTCGAATAAATAATATCTTTCATATAAATATATCTTATCTTGTTTCATTTTTATCATGAGATTATCATGGGACAGAACTTATGGCACGACTACGTACAAAGTACAAAGTAAACGTTGTTTAGACGAGCTGTTCCAAGCGCTTCTGTATCGTAGAATACCTTTAAATTAAATTCTTCCTTATACATAAAACATTCTGTGGAGGTTATAAGGTCGCATACACGTTTTGTGGGTACTGTTATGACTAGTAGTATATTCTCGCGCTATGGGACCTATTCATCAACAAACAGTAGCTTTTATTTAAAATTCGTTACAAAAAAGTTTTGCACATTCTTAGTGGTCAGAAATAAAGCTCGTCAAAAATCGAATTTTCATAGGGAAAATAGGTTTGACGAAGATTTTAGGAGACATCGATTTCTAAAAATAATATGGTTATCATTTTTTTTCTCATATATGTTGAAAAATTCCTTGTATCTGAAGGGTTAAAAAACGAAGTTTCAGAGACTTTTTTTTTCATTTTGTGCCTTTTTCTCCGGCGTCACTGGATCGATTTTCAAAACCTACAAAGATTTTTTGTCCTTGGCATAGTAGTAACCATGTGTAACAATTTCATCCAAATCCTAGCGGTATTTTCCAAGTTATGGACAGGCCAAGGACTAGCGAACAGACCAACAGATAGACGATAACGAATGACACGGATTTTCACGATGCATATAAAATAAAATAAAAAAAAAAACGCATATTCTGAATTTTTCGCGATTACCATACTTCCTCGGTAGTAGGCGTGGGAAGAAAAAATACTTCACCAAGGTATGTAATATACTATTTTTAAGGCAAAATACTGATTGCCTAGTCGAAAAAAAATTTTAAGCACCCCATTAGTTAGATCCTAAATGAAAAACCGCTGATCCAAGAATTCTGAAAATGTTACGTCTACAATCGATTTTTCGCAAAGAAACATTCATTCGAGTTTCATAACAATCTCAAGATCTCGAAAATATATACATACTGGTACTGGTCTCAAAAAAAACTCAACTCACTAAAACAACCATTAAAAAAACTCACCTCATCGCTACTATCCAAATATCCGAAAAAATCACATCAATCCAACCACTGATTTCGCACTAGAAGAGAACCTTAATCACCAACCAATCCTCGGGCGCGATCAAACGCAAACACGCGGCAGACGAAGCGCTGCAAATCCTCTTTTTGTCAAGCAGTACCGCAAACTTTTTGCACCGCACAAACGAGTTTCGTACCCGGCCACCTGTTAGGGCTCAAAGAAAGCCTTCGATAACGCGACGCTGTCACTTGGATTAAAATCCTCCGAGTTACCGGCCGGCACACCGGCAGTTGTTTTTTAGCACCGGAGTCGGTGGTACTATTATTTAAGAACCTGTTTCTTTTACAATCCGGATATATCGAAGATGGTCGCACTCCCACTGGTACCTGATCTTCAGACAATGTTGCCACGAGCACGCTCCTTCGTCTTCTAATTTCCATATAACGTCTATTAGGTACTACTTCCACTAACTTGTCTCTAGTGGCTGTACGCGAAAATAGCAGTACCACAATGCAGCGAGATAACCAGGTTGAAATTTCAGCTTGAAAAGGGTCTAATCCTTAATAAATCTCTTGCTTTTGAAGACTTGATTGCAAGTATAGTAGTACCAAACGCGATGTCGCCATATACACAAAGATTTTGCACAGAACTTATTATTTTAAAAGTTGTACTGTCGAGGTGCTTAGGGCTATATTGTGCATATCCAGTTACAGCTAATCAGTACCTAATCTCCAACTGCTTTATACAATTCGCAAAATCTGATGCTTTGTACATCACTGTGCCTTCTGGTACCACTGGTAAAACCAACATTAACTCCCGGTAACTTCGATAAACCAATTCTGGTGCAATGATTGTCTCACGATCAGTACCTGGCAGTACCCAACTTTCAACGAGAACTACTAACTAACGCACTTGGTCAACAAACGACAAGATTCACTGCACCACTGGAACTTTAAGTCCAGTACCACTTGCTTGTTTCAAGGTACCACCTGGGAACAGCTTGACTCGCACATCCACTGTCTGAAAATCCCGCTGTATCTCTTAGATACTTAAATCACCGCTTGATTATCCAGTAGGTACTACTTCACACCAAAGTCATTGCTGATGCACAAAGGGTACCATCGTCCAAGAAAGCTACTGGTGGTTATCTCCTCCGGAAGGCGATGTGATGCGTCTAGGCACGACAGTATTTCTTTTATTTCTAGCACCACTTCGAGTATCCAGTGGGTACTACTTCACACCAAACTCATCCTGCTTTGTTCACGCGCGACTTGATGCTATCGATTGAGAATCCTTCTGGTGGTTATATCCCTCGTAAGATGCAGTACTGCGTTGCGTTCTAGCACCACCTGACTATCCAGCTGGTAGTATTTCACACCACATTCATCCTGCTTTGTTGACGCGAGTTTTGAGACCATCGATTGAGTATCCTTCTGGCATTTATCTTCCTCGTAATATGATACAGTGAGTGTGGGCAATACAGGCAGTACTGCTATGCGTTCTCGTACCACCTGACTATGCAGCAGGTACTGCTTCACACCAAACTCATCCTGCTTTGTCTCTCGGAATATCCGGACAATACAGGCAGTACTTCGTTGCGTTCTGGTACCACCTAACTATGCAGTAGGTACCACTTTACACTAAAATGATCCTGCACTGCTGACGCGCGTTCAAGCTTAGCGTCGACCGAGAATCCCGCTGGTAGTACTTTAATCCCTCGGATGCGCGTCCGGGCAACTATCAAAGCAAAGGTAGTACCGGACCGGGCGACCTTCTGCTTCGAGATATGCGAACGATGCACGGTCGTGGCGCGGCGCGGCGATACGCGGTTTGAGGTACGACCTGCGAGAGGCAGACCCGCGACGGTGCGGCGGTTACTGGACCCGAGTTGAAGCTTGAGGCCGCCTCGATCTGCGGTGCTGAAGCACGGCGACCGGCTTCGGGGGGACTCGCGTACGCGGAGCAGTTCGGGCGATAAAGTTGAATAAGGAGTAAACACTCTAGCTATTAAGATGCAAGTTTCATTAAAGGGCAGAATATATGCGTTAACTTACACTAACAAAGGAAGACATCGAAAAGGGTTAATCCGTTAGTGTTTCTTTGAGAGAAGTAAGAAGTTCTCTCTCTCTATATGCGTAAGGTGCCCTCAAAGTGCGGACTTTCCTATGGCTTTTCTCTGCAAAATTCACCCTTTCTAGAATACCTAACTTCTCATTTTTATATAAGCGTAGGATCGCAACGATAGGCTGATGATACAGTCGAGTTTTAAGCTTATCGCCCGGGCTATATTCTTAGACTATGGGGCAAGGCACGACCTCAGATGAAAGCATTATCATCGCTAAAGGGCATACATCCGAACGATGAGATTTACATGCAAACTGGACGTCAACATTAGGGGTACTCAGTCAGTTACATCTTGGCAGATGGCTCGGATGCTTGTTAGGTGTTCCATTCCTCAGACTTTATTTCACTTAGCATAACTTAAAATTGTACAGGGTGGTACTAAAGTATAAGGACAAAACTTTAAGAGGGTATTCGTGATTTCAAGAAAAAAAAAGGTCATATAAACTCGACTGGAAATGAAAAACATGTTTTGAAAATACGATTTTTCTTATCATAAAAATCATTAGTTATTATATATTAAAATATGTGGAAATTTATAATTTTGAGATGTACACTCAAAAATTTGAACAAAAAGGAGAAAAAATGAACAGCTTTGGATCTCATAAAGGTGGCGATCGCAATTTGTAGTTTTTTTAATACATCGATATCACCCTTACTTTTGGTAAAAAATTCATGGAACAACAAAAATGTCCGAAAAGTAATATATGTATATATGTATATGTGACTTTGAAGTTGAGTCATTAATTTTCAGATAATGATTGTAGAAGGAAGATAAACCAAAATATGTGTGTAAAAATAAAAAAAAATAAAAAAAAAATTACCTTGTTTTATAAAGTATCCTCCCGACAAGTATTTCAGTGCGGACCTGTATTTGATCGTGAGGTCTTGGAGCACCGGTATGCCGTCCCCTGTGAGGTCTTAAGTCACCTGATTCACGAGCCCGTTGTACTGCATTAACAAAGGCACGAGGGGTTGGTTGCACTCGATTGGGAAACCGATCCGCATAAACATGTGCCATTTTTTATTTCGTTTGAGCCACGCAACAGACACCACTATTCACTCACGCGTTACCGACTGACACTGACTGTATACAACTGAATAAAATAATTGTAAAAACATCGTTCCAAATTCTTTCGCTTTTTTGTTTCCGATGCGATGAACCGATAAGGCGGATTATATCCGTTGTTGCCAAACACGAGCACATAATATTATTATTGAGACAGGGCGGTACTCAAACATCCAAAGGGCTATAACTTTGTTACCTTAATTTTACCAGAAAAATGGTAAAGGAAAAAAACATTTCTTTTGATCAGATCTACTCACTGCTAAAATAAATGACTCAACTTCGAAGTCACCCTGCATTTTTCTCTTCAGAAACTGTGCCTTAAGTGCATGCGACCCAGTTGACTTCATAGTTGGATAACTCCTTATGTGTCAGGCAAGGCCGAATGCGGTAACGAAAACAAAAGACGTTCACGCATGAGATATCCACGCCTTCTGAGCTAATTTCCATACGATGCAACAATCGGCGGTGAAATCCCGCATTCCGCGTTTGCTGACCCCCTGTATAATTAGAATCACTTGTTGTCCAGGTACTTTTGAACGCCCTGAATATCCAAGTACCTTTGCTGTAGTACACCAAATGCCGCTTCTATTATTTACTGATACATTTTGGCTGAGATAGAAGCTAGACTTACCTAGGATTTTTTTTGCCAGAACCTGTCATTGAGCTTCTTACCTGTAAAAAAACATTGCTATTGAAGGTTTCGACATTAAACAAAAACGATGATGGAAGTTTCTGTCCGGTAATTACGACAAAAACGTTTTACGAGATGACGTGACACCTTGGTTGAATATATTAGTTTATTTAGCGAACGAGAACGGTTTTTTTCAATTGTTGGTCGACCTTGCATCGCAACATTATCGTCAGCTATGAATAACATTCTATATAGAGTTATTATAAAAGATGATTTACAAAAAGTATGAGCAAATATACGCCCTGCGACCAGCCGCGATTTGAAAATGTTCAACTGATGTTTTTACGCTAACAAAGTTTTCAAGAATCAATTTCAACATCCGAAATTTCAGTTTACTAGCTTGACCTGTTCGAAACATAAGTAGGGATGATCTTTCTGAAAAGCACTGCATACTCCTATACTTAAGTTAAAAAGTTTTTCTTTCGAACAATCCTTTCGAAATGTACAGGATTACCCATTTGAAAAATGTACAGGGTTTGTCCGGAAAGTAATAGGACTCATTTTCTTCCGCCATGGACGCAGAAGGAGCCTATTTTGAAAGTTTTTAAAGAATTGTAACGATTGGCTCAATAATTTTTTTTAAATCGACTCAGTCCTATTACTTTACGGACAAACCCTGTATGTTCGTGTTATGGCGTATGAATCGCCCTGTATATTTTGCAAGTAGGGAGGTTGAGTCCTTTGAAGGTTTTTCCTATTTCTAAGAGCATAGCTACTATATTAATCTTAGCAACATGGCTGTGACAATAGAAAATGTTTGCGAACGTCCAAATTCCAATATTCAACTTTAGGGAGATAAGAAAAAACGTGTCGCGTTCCACATGCAAGACCCTCCATACAAGAACGCTTCCTTCTATGAATAAGAACGCTCGCATGGAGAATTTAACAGAAATATAAATTCTGGTACTTATTATACAATATTTATAATCTTAATACTTGTCAACGTAAATTATATTTACACGGTACATATTATCGTGTATTTTATTTCGGCTCGAGTTGCGTTACTCTCGCGCGAATGCGTGCGTTTTACAAAAAGAACATGACAAATCGCATTACTTTATCCTCTGGTACCTCTTTAACGACATACAAATTATACGGTTGAACATTTAAATCGTGTCCAGACAAGTTGGCGGAATGATAGAAAAGTAGTTTTTTGGTGTTCATTTAGCTGTATCTAATAATTAGTTATTGTTAAACATGCCACCAACTCTCCACGAAAAGATCACTCGTCAGTGTTCCTCGTAATGATTCCGAAGGTTTGCAACGGCGAAATTATTTCAAAATTCCCTAGTTGGACTGGAGTATGGCATTTTCTAGCTGAGAATCGAAAACGGTCAGCTCGATTCTGATTGGTCTATTCAAACGGCTGGACGTTACACGTTCCGTGTAAGAGAGTGTATGGGCATTTGTGAATCTAGATCCCAGTTTTCTTTGTACTTGCTTATCCTGAATCCCCAAGGCCGAAACAGCACGAAGCTAAACGAGGCTACAATTTTAAAGGGCTTGATAGCTTTCGTGTAAGAGAGTGAATGGGCACCTAGAGCCCAGTTTTCTCTCACGAGCTGTGCGCAGATTCGACAAATCCAACATATAGCAGGAACCTAAACGAGGTAATTATCTTTGCTTTCCGGATATACCTGAGAGGGGGTTCTTATTTTGTGCTTGAATCATTAGGAGTGCAGAATTATGCGCTTCATTTACTAACAAACGACCTTTGGATAAACGAGAGGAGGGTCACGTTCAGCTACCCTTTACGTCACAGATGTAAGTGATAATAACAACTTCTTCAAAATGTGTTTAACATGTATTTATCACAATTCTCGACGCCATTAAGTTAGTACACAATACGAACAAACTTTTATATATAGTCAACGCCAAACAAAGTGGCGTGCACGTCATCACGATAAAAATTCCCCGACCTAATGCCTAGGTTTCTATCACAAACAATTGCTCTATTGCATTTTCATATTAATGTGATATATAAATTGTAAAATGGTCATTACTCTCTTATTATGATTAATAGTCATATAAACATTGTTATTAAAATATCACATAAGTTGCTTTCTCTTAAATTTAGACGCATTATGCGAAATAAAATGTTTTGCAAACGCTCCAATCACTTATCGACATGTAAACGCACTAAACCGATTTCGCAGCGTTGACACATTGTCACCTTGAAACTTATTTAAACTGGGAACTGACATTTGTATTAATTTTGACACTGAATCAATTTGTGGCATTTCAAATCTTTATAAATCCTTTGGCCCCGCATACTGTAAATCAACAACTGTTTGTTTCAAAACAAAATTATTCATTTTACGAGTAGATAAAGGCAATTTTGGTATATAAAGATGCCCAAACAGTTAAATAGTCGGTGTAAGGAACTCGTGGCCTCGTTAATGCACTACTTTGAGCAAGAAAGGGACAACAACGGGCCTTTGTTGCCTTTAAATGCTGTTCAAGAGGTAGGTTACTAATAATTATATGTAATGTATATTAATAATAGTGAAATTTTATTTCATTTTTTGTAGCGTGTTGCTGCTGCTTTAAAAATTAGTTTAAGGACAGTTAGTCGTATTTCCGAGGGTGTGAAAAGTGATGCAAATTTAGAATCGCCCAAGAAAAAGCGGAGTTATATTAAACGTGTAACCAACACAGCGACATTGGATACAAGTGCCATTCGAGAAGTGATCTATAATATGTATCACAAAAGTAAGATCTTATTATAATAACTTATCAGAAATTTGCATTAATTTGTTAACTAAATTATAATGTCATATTACACATGGTTTCAGAAGAACAAGTTACGATACAAACTTTATGGTCTCGATTAAGAGATAGGGCATTATTTGATGGTAGTGCCACGTCTTTAAGGCGGTTGCTTAGAGATCTTGGATTTAAGTGGCTTAAGGACAATCCGCGACGAGGGCTCATGGAACTACCAAGTATAGCTTTGAAAAGGGTGGAATTTCTAAGGCAATACAATCAAGCCAAGGTTGAGGCCTTATACCAGTTTGTCTTCCTCGATGGATATTTCAAAATGGGACCATAGGTCGCTCTTGGCAAAATGGAAACCAAAAAAGCGTGAAAGCTATTAAAACAGATGGTAAAAGGTATGTACTTTTACACAATTTGCACTATAAAATTTAAAACTAATATATTTTAGATACATTATATTACATGCTGGAAATGAAAATGGGTTTATTGAGGGTAGTGAAGCGATATTTTCTTCGAAAACAAAATTGAGCGATTACCATGGAGAGATGAACCGGACAATTTTTTGAAATGGTTTCAACATCAGTTATTAGAAAAATAGGAGAGTCCATCTATGATTATACTGGATAACGCCCCTTATCACAGCATGATATTGAACAAAGTGCCCAACAATGCATGGACAAAAAAAATATCCAAGACTGGTTGACAAATCAAAACATACCATTTTTAAACACAATGTTTAAAACAGAGCTATTGAGTATTGTTGCTCGGTACATAATGCTTCTTAATTATATATATTTTGGTCGACAGTTTATATTTCTTTTGTTTATTCCTATTCTTAAAATAACTGCTTTTTTAGAAACAAACCACCTAAAATATACGTGATTGATGAATTGGCGGAACAACATGGGTACAAAGTTCTTCGTCTGCCTCCTTACCATTGTATATTTAACCCTATTGAGTTAATTTGGGGCATAGGAAAAGGTTACTATAACAGACATATTGGTAGAGATGGTAACAGTGAAAAAGACTGTTTGGATATGTGGAACGAGGCTCTACAAACGGTTACCCCAGACATGTGGAAAAATAGTGTTCGACATACTGAGCAAGAAATTTTTAAATGGTATGAAAGAGAACGAATTTTTGATCGACCAGACATCGAACCTTTAATAATCAACTTTGAGAGTGATGAAGATTCAGATTCAGACAGCGCTGAAGAAAGAAACTCCGACTAACTTTATTGTACAGAAAAAGCTTACACCAGTAGCTTACCTAATTTTAGAATGCATTTTTCTGTATGAATTCTGTAAAATAAATACCATGCATAAAATTTGGAGGACCCCATTTGGATTTTTATTCAGTACCTTTAAGCTATCAATTAAATATGGTAGTTTCATAGTGTCATCTGATCAATAATTGTCATACTTAATGATTATGCAAGTACAGATCTATAATTTTGTTATAGTATTATTTTTGTTCTCATTTGAGGTTAATATTGCTTATAAACCTAGATATGTAAATAATAAATTTTATTATTTTACAAAAAGTTTGGCAACAATGTAAATTTTTCAACACACCCACCTTGATGACGGGCACGCCACTTTGTTTGGCGTTGACTATAGATCTATATGGTACCTCACAGAATAACGGTAATAGGGCTCCAACTGCATAATATATGTCCATGAAATTATACGGAATAATAAAGATGAAAAATATATCAAGTATTTTCTACATTGACGTTGATTATAATATAATACTTTTAGTACATCTAATGGGTCCCAATTAACACCTAATTTCGTCACACTATTTCCATCTTGTTTGAAGAAACGCCGTGACAAACCTTTTAGTCGGATTTCCAAGATACGCTTACATCTGTTTATTATATGATAATACCTAATGCATAGCGTTAGCGTTTAGTAACAGACTAACGCAATGCCTCGTCTAGCGAACATCTTCGAAAAGATCACCGATTCATTCATAGTGACCTTTGAACTTTTTATCGCGTTGTTGTTTTGAACACACCTTACAAACATTGCCAAAGATCTTTGACGTGTACAGCTCTTCAACGTTCAATTAAAAATTGCCAAGCTATGTCACATTATGCGTGATACTGCGGGTAATACTAGCGGGATCGCAAAGGATCCGGGTCGGAAAGCGAGGTTACCGGCCCAGAAAATAATTAAACATAGAACAAGAAATAAAAAAGTGTTCACCTCAATTTTACACACTAAACATCATTTCTCTCTAAACAAAAAAAGAAATCGCG